GCAAGACAACAGGTAGATACATAAGTGCATAAATTTAAAAATAAATAAAGAAATATGATAAAGCTATGGAGAGAGAACACTAGCAGTTGGAGGAATAAGGAAAGGTTTCACGGAGAAGGTGATATTTGAGCTGGGTCTTAAAGAGAAATAGGGATCCCATGAGTCAGAAGTAAGAAGGGAACGCATTTCAAGCATGGGAGATGGCTAGTGTGATGATACAGAGATTCAGGGATGGGATGACACATGAGAGAAAGAAAGAGAAAGTAAGTTTGGCTGGACTATGGAGTATGGGAAAGAGAGTAATGAGGCTAGAGGTCAGCTTGTGAAAACTTTAAAAGCCAAACAGTGGAATTTATGTTTTATCCTGGAGGTAACAGAGATCCACTGGAGTTCGGGGTTGTTGTTGTTTTAGTAGGGGATAATATGTTTAGATTTGTACTTAAGAAAAATCACTTTGGCAACTACGTGGAAGAACAGTCTATAAAATGAGAGGGCTGAATTAGACGGTCTTTGAGGGGTCTTCAAGCTCTGAATCTAGGATGCTATGAGCCCATGTTGGAAAAGTTTTACTAACCTCTCATACATATTTGACCTGCCCAGCTCCATGTGGCCTCTCAGTCCTACCCCAAACCCACCATCAAAGAGCCAAATGATAACATTCACCAAGAAGGGGGGGGGGCCGGGGGAAGCACATATACACACACACTAAAAAAATAAAAACTTAAAATTTAAAAAAAAAAAGAAAGAAAGAAACTACCCCCTTTAAAAAAAAAATGAGCATTTAAACTACTTGTCAGTCGGCTGCCTGACAAAGCCACTTGAGTGTATTCACACACATTTGCATAAATGCTCCCGGTGAGTTCACCGTAGCTGCTCTTGCTAATGGTACATAAAGTAATTTAGTCACCTCTCTCAGGCATTCTGTGTCAGGATGATGAGCGCCCGCACTTTGCCTTGTTGCATATTAGATCATTAGATAATAAAGTGTTAGAGCATGCAAACTGACAGGGTCTCTGCACTATCATTTTTTGAGGGCATTGCATTTTGCCACAGGGGAAAAAATAGAGAAACTGATGCCACAATTGTCCTTAAATTCAAGTAAACATGAACTGGAGAATCGGGAGAAACAAAAAGATAATGATTAGTAATAGTAACAGTAATAATAATAATAATGATTTACAGGCAAAAAAAGTAGCAGGTTCCTTCAAATGCTGCCAAATGATGAGGAGGATGGGTGCAGACACCAAGGCAAGAACTTCAATTTTAAAATCCCTTCACCTCAAGCAACAACACTTAAGGATTTCAGAGTTGAAAGGGGCCTCAGACAACAAATAGTCTCACCAGAGCCATAACTAGCAATATTGGCACCTGAGGCAAACACTTACAAAATGTTTCTGGGACAGGGTGGTGGGTTTTTCTTCAGACGGACTTCAGAATGCTTCTAATGAAATACTCCCACTTCCAGGGGAGAAAACAAGGTTGTAGTGCACAAGGGAAGAGTTTACTTTATATCGAAGCATCATTTCATAATTTCTATTTTAACTACTTATTCTTGCTCTCCCAGTGCCAAGATCAGTTGTCTATACCAGCTAAAAGAGGGCAGGTTAGTACCTTTGATCAAAGAGCCCAGTCCTCCCAACCTAGTTTTGCTCTGAATCTAACAACCTCACATTTTAAAGATGGGAAAACTGAGATTTACAGAGGTTAAGTGACTTGCCTAAGGTCGCAGAACTACAAAGTGGCAAAAGCCAGGACTAGAACTCAGGTCTTCAGTTTCCAAGGGTAGCACTTTCTACTACATTTAACTAAGAGCATTACAGAACCACATCTTCTATGGAATGTGGCCTTTCACGAGAACATAAAATTGTAGGTTTAGAATCTAAAGGGACCTCAGGGACCAAAAAATCCAACTCTTTCATTTTTACAGGTAAGGAAACTGGGACACAAAAAGGTTAAGTGCCTTGTCCAGGGTCACACAGCCAGTTAATGTCAGAGGTAACTTGAGAACCCAGTCCTTTACTGTCTCTTTGAACCACTGCCTTCCTTAAGTCCAATGTCTATAATGTCTTGGTCAAAAGTCCTTTCTTAAATAACTAGATTTTAAGACAACTTAAGAGCTCTGATAATAACTAAGTAACTTAAATGCCTTTGGTCTATACTGGACATGCTTCTATATAATAATAATACATTAGCAGTTCATTTGTGGTTTACCATAAACATAAAACTTGGGAGGCATTTACGAATGAAAATAAACTGTAATTATCATGAGCTACAGCTTGCTAAGGTAGACTTCTTTCCCCTGCACCCCCTGCATGAGTTTACAAAACAAATTTGCCTTTCTCAACTACTATGCTTGAAATATAGGAGTATTTATTTGAACACTACATTTCTGAGGCCTTAGGTAACACAGGGAGTGCTGTGTGTGAATGTAAACCATGATCACTGCTTCTACTTATATATGGAAAGATGAGCCATGAAGGGAACTTTCCTTCCACTGTCTGACAAGCAGGATATAAATAGAGATGTGTGGAATAGCTCAAAAATAATTCAAGCTACCTGAGAATGAGATGGTTAAAAAAAAAACTGGTAAAAGAACACTCCTGCAAGCATCTAGAGGTGAAAATACTTTTCAGACTTACTGTTTGACACTATATTCTTTGGAGAATGTAGTTTAAAATGGTATTTTACAGGAAAAATTTTTTATGGTAAGGAGGAATATTAGAATGTCCCCAAAGCCGAATGCAGTAAGCACCCAATCCACTCCCACACATCTCCAGGATGGTAATTCAATATTCACCCTTTGCTGAGCAGATATTTATGTTTCGGCTTGAAACGTCTAAATGAGTGGGTGGCTATGTGTGGTTGGGTGATTCAGACAACAGAGTGTACAAGAAGTAAAGTTTTTTGTCATCAGCAAAACGGACCTGACCATGTGGATTCTTGTTTTGCTGAAGGGAAACCATAAAATGCAAGGAGAGAAAAGCTCACTCGCTGAAAGCCTGAGTCACTTCCAGGTACTCAGGAACAATGCCATTACCCTTTCTCTCATTCATGGGGGCAAGAACCTCCTCCCCCCCCTTCTAGTTCTCCTTCATGTATCATCTTCTCAAACTAGAATGTAAGTTCTTGAGAGCAGGTGCTATCCTTGCTTTTATGCATTTGTATCTCCAGCACTTAGCACAGTGCCTAGACCATGATAACCATTTAATAAAGGCTTCATTTATTCATCCATTCATTCCCCTTGAACTTTATACAATACTTTATTTTAAAGCTTTAATTCGCTTATGAGATGTTGCATACTATGTTTATCTGAGAATGGGACATATTCATTAGACTGTAAGGTCTATAAAGGGAAGAGAAATAGTCTTCTCTAAATTTACAATGCTTAGGTACATGCTCTGTATACAATAAGCGCTTGACAGATGTTTGTGGAAGGAATGTGCCATGAGTAACTAAATTGCACTTTATATCTTTAGTAAGATGCTAATAGCATCATGACCACTTTACGGATCGGCAAGTTGAGCCAGAACAATCAAAAGACTTTCCTAAAGTCATATATCCTTCCCCCCCAAATGTCAATATGTGTTATTCATACAGAAGGATGGTGTCATGGATCCACCATTAGTAGAGCGGGTACGTTGGGCTGTGTTGCCAATAGTGAGAATTCATTGCAGTGATCCTTCCAGACAGTCTCACCCAGACTCCTTCACACACCTTCTCATAGAAACGAGGGAAAAGTCTGTGAATTCAGAACCGACTGGCCAATGAGTTTGACCTTGGTCTTCATCATGCCACTCTGGCCACCTGACTGAACTAGCCATGGCACAGAAACAAAGCTGAGGTGTGCAAGCCCTCAGATGCGGCCTGAGGAGTACTGGGTATTTCCCCATGTTTTTCCTCTGTGCCTTGTCTAAACAGCTCTACATATACAGTGCCTTAAGTGACTCTAAGGGCATTTTAAAAAAGGCAACATTACTGTAATGTGAAGATCAAAATAATTTTAAGTACAGGGATGGAAATAGAAATGCAATCACAAGCAGGTGTTCCAAATAGCCTCCTGGAAAGAGTAATATCTATCTATCTTAGCCCTAATGAAGCCATAAAAAAGCAGCTTTTGAAAGATGATAGTTTACTCTAAGAAGACTGTAAAACTGGATGTGGTGAAGTATTTCTCCTAAGAGCGCTACATCTGGCTAATTAATAAAAGGTACAGATCGTACATTCCTTAAGGGTGGGGACAAAAAATCGGGTAAAAATTATGAGAGTGGTTTGTTTATTAAATTGGGATGCTGGCAGCAAAGGGAATTTTCTACCTTGTGAATTATAGCATCGGGACAGCTCATGCCCCTGGAAGCCTCAGGAAATGAGATGGAAATTTGTTTTGAAATAACACTGCTGACGAAGCAAACAGAAAAGTGAAGCCGAGTAAGGGGTTACAAATTTTGTTTGAGGAGAAACAAACACCCAACCCAGGGCTTTACACATCATAGGTGAGCAATAAATAGTTGTGGAATGAACGAATGGACAAAAGAAAAGTTTATTATTCATGTATCACACGTAAATTCAGATATGTAGCCATCTAGCTTAGAATTTCTATGGCATTCACTTTCCTTGAGAAAAATTTTATCTGGTTTCTGCTTACCCTTTGAAAATCATCACTGATAAGCTGGCATGCCCAAGGCAAATATTATTATATAATAATTCACCTCTAAGACCTACAGATAGACATGTCACCCTTTTTCCAGTTTGGAGGGCCATAAAAATTAAGCATGGTAAATGGGACAAAAAAAAAATTTTCCTATCTTTAATTACTAGGCCATTATGTTCTAAAGAGAAAAAAAAACCTGGAATGTCAATTTTGATAGACGGACAATTTGAAAATTGAAAGGTTGGGGGAGGGGTTGGAAAGCTGAAAGGGGATGGGGAAAGGACAGAGGAGAGAAACCAAATAAATTCACATTTAAAGTAGTAATGCCAACCAATGAAAATGATTTGCCTACCATGTTCCAGATAAGAGGGCGTACCTTCCGAGGGGTCAAGTCTCCGAGCCCTCCGCCCATGCTTGGAGTTATTGTGTACGAACATGTTATCTGAGACAGCCAGGACATGGCCATCCACATTGACTGTCGTAGACACCACGACCTAGAGACACAAGAAGGAAATGAATGAACATTTTAATATAAAAGCATAGAGGGTAATAAACTCAAGTTAAATAAATAACAGCTGGGAGCTGAAGAAAATTGCATAGCTATTTCCCATAATAACTGGTGCTTATGCCGTACAAGTCTAACAAGAGACGCTATTGATGAGTGGGTCTTTGGTATGGAAAGCTTTTGATGCAGTTTTAAGTAAAATTGCACAGTTTATAGTTATACAGCAGAAGGTACACTGTTAACCATAATTTTAACAAGAGAATCTTTATTAGCATATTTTTTTAACACAAGGGTGGCTGTGTTTCACCTAAATTACCCTTCAGTTTAGACATTGAAGCAGATATCACAGTTGATCTTAAAAATAAAAATCTTTGCATTTTAATTCACCTCATCACCTCCTCCCACCCCACCCCACCCCCAACTCCTAAAGCTTGAGGGTTAGGAGTCTGGGAAAATGTAAAAGACAGAAAAGAAGAGAGCATGGGAAAGCGGGGGGGGGGGGGGGGGGAGTTGGGGAGGGTTTTTGTTTGTTTGTTTGTTTTTTGTTTTATTGTTTTTTCTCCTGAAGAGGACTTTGTTGGTTGGGTATTTGAGGGATATTTTTTTCCTCCTCTCCTTCATCAGTTTTGGTTCCTCTGACTAATAAAACCAAACAAAAAGCAAACAAACAGAACAACAACAAAACTCCCAGCTAGACAGGCATCTTGGTGCAGACTGTCTCCTCTGGAGGCCATCAGATCAGTGGCATGGGCCCAGCTCCTGGGCTGTCACCCAGACACTCCCCACTGAACACCAGCCCGCTCAGAGCCTGTTTGCCAAAGGGGGCCACAGAAAGAAGCATGTGTTGTCTTCAAGAACTTGGGCTAAAACAATGAGCAGGAATGACCTACACTTCTCCTTATATTAAATGGGAAAAGGGATTAAAACTGAAACCCGCAGAGATATGTTTATTCATGCAACCTCTTACAACCAAATATAATAATTGTCTGTTAATTGCAGTTTCAGCTCCCACCTCATGCTTCGACTTGTGAAACAGCAATCAGCCGGCTCCTGTTTAATCCACCTATTATGTTGACTAATTAACTTTGCTCGACAGTTTATTTCTTCCTCCATTATCAGCCCCTGTCAGCCGCGAGCACACGGCTGCGTAGGGGGACCTCGGGCTCTTTGATTGATCACCGATAGATTGACATGCAGATTAATTTAATTAGAATCACCTCACTTGAGAAATGAAAGACAATGGCAAAGGGGCTAATAGATCTGCTCTCATAATGAGGCAAGCCTCCAGAGCGAAGGCTGAGGATTTCTGATTTATTTTGCTGAATTCCCCAGTTGTTTCGAAAGGCTCTTGCTTTTAATTGTTCTTGGTTTTGAGAGGCGTTCGCCTCTGAAGAGGTGAAATGCTTTACAAGGATTGGCACACACTGCGCCAGCGCTGGGAGGAAGCCACCTCTCTGCATTGGCCAAGGAAGGCAAGGGGGAGGAGGAGTACGCAGAGGATCTTTGGAGACTCCGATTTCATCATCGGAGTGGGACAAAAGGGAAAACTTCGGGCTCCTGGCCTGGTCCTGGAGAATGTCAACCCTATTAGTAGGCCTCCCACCAAATGCATAACACTGAAAAAGACCCTCTTCCACCCCCTTCCCCCAGAGAGCTGGCCCAAATCTGTCAGGACAAAACATTTGCACTTGAGAGAAGATAGCAGAAAGAATGCTTTCCATCCAGTAGTAGCTGAGAGAACTGCTCACAGTACCACCACGCAATGTTTGTATTTTTGTTGTAATCTATGATATTAAAATACTATGGGAGTGATTCAGAGCACTTACAGGGATCCAGGCTTTTCTGCTTAGTCACTTGCAAAACCCCAAATCCCAGCTAAAGTCATTCATGAGAGGGAGGAAGGTTAAATGATAGTACGCATAAGAGGCAAGTTCCAAAGCAATTTATCACTCCATTTATGACTGGCTAACTAGACGTCAGATAGAATAAGCTTCTACAAAAGCCTCTTCATTTACAGGTTAAATTTTTTTAAAAAAAGCATAGAGTTTTCTTGGCGTTTTGTGTAAAGAAGAAAAAAAGAGATCAGAAATATGGTTGCAGAACCTTCATTATTTGAAGAAATTGAAATTCATCTATTCTATCCCTTTTAGTTAGAAAGGAGACTACTTGGGACATTTTAAATTACATAACACATCTATCTGTGTCTTTCAAAGACCACAATAAAGTGGTCAATGGAGTCGTTAGCTGAAGAAACTATAAAAGGAATCCCAAACGGTATCTGTTTCCAGTGTCAGGAAATAGAGAAAGTGGTTACGCTCTGTGTCTGTCTTTAAAAAAAAAAAAATACTTTGCTGTGCACCTGTAAGACAATCACCGAAGTGCCACAGGCTTAAGTCTTTAAATATTCAATGCATTTCAAAGAGGCCCCACTGTCATCCAAGTTTTATATTCAACGTAAAGGCTAAGGACAAGGATTAGTAACAAGAATAATGCACACTGTCCATTTCCCTTCATTCCATCAGAACAATCCACATGGATAGGACACTCTCCAGGGTCTTTATTCCTTCCCTCAACCCCTCTCACTCCCAGTGCCCTTAGGCCAGCCTAATCTGTCTGCAGAGCCTAACCCTACCTGGAAAGAGGGAAAGACTAGAAAATTCTTTCATCTTTATTTAGAGGCAACGAGGTTAAGCAGAAAGAATGTGGCACTTCAGATCAAAAGACTTGGCTTACAGTCCTGGCTCTGCCACTTACTAATTGTGTGACCTTGGACAAGTCACCTCACTTATCACTTCAGCCTCCCCATCTAGACATAACATGTTTACAGATGTTCTCAAAGACCCCTTTTGGCTGAGATATTCTATTCTATTCTGCTCTGTTCTATTTCCATTTTAAATATTAACTATATTTATATACACCAGATATAACACTTTTTTTCTTTCCCTGCCTCCCCAAATTAATCTCCCTAATGCATAGGTCTGACTGTTCTTTTGCTCAAAAGCCTTCTAGTGCTCCCAGTTGCTTGGGATAAAACAAAAACTACTGGGGCAGCTAGGTGGTGCAGGGAATAGAGCACCAGCCTTGGAGTCAAGAGGATCTGAGTTCAAATCTGGCCTCAGAAACTAGCTGTGTGACCCTAGGCAAGTTACTTAACCCCAATCGCCTAAAAATAAAAATATAAAAATTAAAATTGCTTAACCTAGAGCTGAGGTCTTTAACATCTCTTTTCAATCTGCCTTTTCAGGATTTCTACCCCTCTCCCACCACGTATTCTTTCTCTGGACCCACTGGCGCTTCTCAACTCTCTCCATTTTTGCCTTGTCCTCTCCCACCTCCATGTCTTTGCACATACTGCCCCCCATGTCTAAAGCCCTTGCACGCCCATCTATTGCAATCTTTCTCTTCTATCAAGGCCTTGTACAAGTAATAATCCCTCCATGAAACTGGCTCTCATCCCTTCAGCTAGATCTCCTATATACTTGGTGTAGGGTATAGCTAGAGAAGTGAAAGACCCAGAATAAAGTATGCTATATTTTGGAGTCTGAAGACATAGGATTTGAATTCTAACTCTGCCACTTACTGACTATATGACCTTGAAAAAAATCAGTGAAGAAATTTATGAACCTCCATTTCCTCATCTGCAAAATAATAGGGTTGAACTAGATGATGGCCAAGGTCTCTCCCATCTCGATGACGTTAGTCATTCTGTGGCTAGTACTATGGCAGTTAGGTGGTATGGTAGATAGAGTACCCAACCAGGTGTCTGGAAGACCTGAGTTCAAATCTGAACTCAGACACTTGCTAGCTGTGTGCCCCTGGCCAAGTCACTTAACCCTATTTGCCTGAAGAAACTGAGGCTAAAACTGTGAAATGTAAAGTGTAAAATGAACTGGAGAAGGAGATGGCAAACTACTCCAAGATCTTTGCCAAGACAACCCCACGAGGTGTCACGAGGAGTCACACATGACTGAAGGGACTTAGCAACAAGTCAGTACTACTGCCCTTCGTGCAATACAATTTATAGAGGGCTTTAAGATTTGCAAAGCACTTTGTATATGTTATCTCACTAGATGACCCTTGTGAGGTTGGTGCTATTATTATCCACATATTGGCAAACGAGGTCAGAGAAGGCAAGTAACCTGCCCAGGTCATGGCTCATCCCTCCTAGATTATGAATTCCCCATGGGATTTTATAAATGAGTAATTTTTCATCTTTGTTGTTGTTTTGTTCATTCATTTTCAGTCACATCTGACTCTTCATGACTCTATTTGGGATTTCATTGGCAAAGTTACTGGGGTGGTTTGTCATCTCTTTCTCCAGCTCATTTTACAGATGGGGAAACTGAGGCAAAAGGGTTAAATGACTTGACTAGGGTCACACAGCTGTTAAGTGTCTGAGGCCAGATTTGAACTCATGAAGATGAGTCTTCCTGACTCCTGGCCCATCACTCTATCTTGTGCCACCTATCTGCCCGATTTTTCATCTAGAATATTTCTTTATTACTACTACTGCTACTACTACTATTACTACTACCTAACTAATAATAATAATAATAATAATTTGACAAATGGTTGAGAAATGTAATCATTCACTTTCTCTTTCAGATTTCAAAATAATCAAGCCACAAATTAAATCTGTAGACCAAATTATAAAATAAAGATGAAAGTAGCAGATGCAGAAGAAGTATCAAACCATCCTTGAAAAAAGGCCTAGAGCAGCTTAATGCAAGATTAATGAAGTGCTGACATATTCCTGTAAGGGGAGTAAACCAGACAGGCCAAAACTTCAGCTTTTCCAAATTTTGTCAACAAAACAGAGCTTTAATTTCAGGTGGGCATACATGAAAAGCAAGTCTGAGAACAAGTGAACCTCCCCAAAATGCCTAAGCCTCACTTTGTTAGGGGCTTCAAAGTAGGAAAAGAAGCAATGAATGATAGTAATCAGAAGAAGAGGTAAGTTCAGGATTGGGGGTTAGCTGGAGTAAGACC